GCTAAATTGCTTGCCAAGCAATATAGCCTCGAATCGGTTAGGTGACGTCACATGTTGCTACGGGTGTTGAGCAGAGAATTGTTTGTCCAGGGTAAATTGTTTGCCTAGTGACGGCAGTCGTAATGGAGGTAACGCAGGTTCGTACGATTCGTCAAATTGGGTTCTAATATCCTTTTCCACATATTATATGTTGCTTGTAATCTCTAGATCTTCGTATCTTCATTTATTCTCAAGAGTAAAACCATAACGTACAGAATGCACACTTACACCACAAGGATCGAAATCACTGATGATAGCATTGCGTACAGCCAAGCAAAAATGTGCAGTGCACTATAATCTGTATGACACCCGCTTCGCTAACCTGCTGCGACCTGGTGACAAGCCCAAGCAACATCATTCATCAGACAAAGACGGTAGCGTTTTCGAAACTGCTGCTAACATTGGTAACAATGTAAGCACTTAATTGGATACGGCAGTATTCGTGGATTTTTCGTAGCGTGATTGAAGCTCTTATCGTATCTCTAATCTATACAATGTGCATTAATGAAGAACATGGAAAAGAAATTAAAACAATTTTAAGTCCAAGATGCATAGCAGCTACGTATAATATACGTGTAATTTATTGCTCTCATTGTAAAAATACCACTTTGCTGGTAGTCTAGAGCGCAATTCTTCGGCAAATTGTTTTACAGCATGATTTCATTCCATTTCATTTCACTTATAATTATATAATGGCATTCAGTATATACGATATACGATATACGAGCATGAGCTGTCCTGGTCTGTGTCCCCCGTTTACCTGGCAGCTAACGCTATGTATCATCTGGCTTAGTTCCGTTTCTGGGTGCAACCTGTAATGTATGTTGTAAAGAATAAGCGTGATACTGACCTCCAACGCGGTTTCTCTCTCTCCCCCTCACCCCTCTCTCTCTCTCGATATTTTTTTTTCATTTTCTTACTCTCTGTCTCTCCACACTCTCTTCCTCTCTCTCCCCCTCTCTTCTCATTCTCTCTCGTCTCCCTTTCGTCCCCTTGCCCCATTCTTACTCTCGCTGCCCCTTTCTCACTCTCGCTATCACGCTCCTCTTCGTTTCGCATTCTTTCTCAGAGTATATAGCTAAACTTACGATAGACGACGTCGCATTGTTGCGCTAGTAGTATGTTTACTGCGGCGGCTGACATCGTCTCCTCCTGCCTATCCTTACTCGCTCCCAGCCACCACAGCAGCTTCCACGACACGTGCGGATCACACTACCCGTCAAACACGTCTCTGTCGTCGCTGCGGGCGCTCTGGAAAAAGCGTGCTTATTGCAAAAGATGCGACACCTATATACGCAGATGCACGTATATATATATATATATATATGACTTAATTCCACCTCCTAACTTCAAACACCAAACACGAAAAGCATGTGCAGAAGATTTAAGTGATAACTAATTTGCACAGAATTAGTTACCACTCACTGGGTTCCAACTCCCATTGTTATATATATATATATA